GGCCTCCCCATTGGCATCCCCAGCTTCGTCTCCATCCCTCCCAATTGACCCAGTGAGTGCCTGCCATATCAGTCTCTCTAAAACACTGCTTCTGCTTGCTGCTCATTGGAATCACAAGACCAGCTTAGCCACTTACCAGGCGGGCTGTATTTTCCTGGATCAGTTACTTCTCATCTGTTAAGAGGAGGTTAGTCAGACCATCTCCCAACATTCTAGTGAAGGTTGAATGATTGCCCTTGGCTTTGCCTCCTACCAGTAAAATGAGATAAACTTCTCGGTTTCATGACCCTGCATTTGTATAGCTTGTCTCCTGTGGAGGCAAAGACCATTATGGTAGTATGTAGGATATGGATGTATATTTATTTATAAATAGTTCTAAAGTTGTATTTTGATATTTTATATAATGAATTTATAATATAAACATATTATTGTTTTATTATAATATAAATGTATAAAATATAATTTAAATATGTCTATTATATTTTAAGATCATACATACTAACTTATATTTAATATTTATTTTCAGGGGCAGGGACCTAATGCAACCCTTTGTATTTAGTACGTGATCACGCAATTAGTATTTACAAAGCAAATCAGTTCATCGATTTTCTGCTTAATCTGGTTATTTGAATGGGTGGTAATTATAAGGTGATAAATTGACATTTTTACCTTAACAGATAACAGCTTTAGAACTGAACATGGAGTGCAAGTATAAAACAGCAAACACACCCCTGGGTAATATTTTTTGAAAGGTCATTTTATGAACATGGAAAATTCCTCTACTAATCAAGAAAGATAGCAGGGAAAGCATAGCTGCAGGTCAAATGCAGGTTACAGAGATGTTCTCTAGGGTGATCCATGGCTTCTTCATCTTTTTAGTACAATGAAAGTACTGTAACTAAACGAAATCTTCCATCTTCCACTATGCATGAATCATTTCCTCTCTGTAACAGACAGATACTCGTCTCATCTGCTAGAAAACATACCCTACTTCTAAATGTTGTTTTCCACTGTTCATTGAGATTATGAATAATATTTATACGTTCTTTCAGTCGTTTGTTTCAAAAGGCATATAATCTGAAACTTGGTCCCCTTTGTAATTTGACCCAAGAAAATTCACTTCACTTATAAGACAGGGTGAGTCAGAAGGGGCAATGATAATGCCAATTCAAAATGAATTAAACCTTATTGGAAATATTGACATTCATTCTTTTCTGGATGATAAAATTCTATGAGAAAGTGTGCATATTTAGTTGCTGCTTATTATAGGTTTACTATAAACTGGACATTTTACAGATGAAGCAAATAAATTCAAAGAGGCTAGGTGATTTTCCTAAGGTCATATAGAGAGAATCGGCTGAGTAGGGGTTCACATTTAGGACAGTTTATCACCAAAATCTGTGCCCTTTCCCCAATCAACAAATATCCTGAAATCACACCTTAAGGGGTGGGGGGTAAATATTAAGGCTTAACCTTTCACAAATTTAGGAAAGCCTTGGGGAAAATCCTTGATTTAAAAAAACCCCAAGAACTATGCTTTTTTTGGCACAACAGTGCCTAAGGTGATGTGAGAAGAGAATTGACTTTGCTGTGGTTTGAAGTGAGTGCAATTTGCCATTGTATTTTACGGTAATATCCTTTTAGTTAGGAAAAAAAAGTTTACATGTAGAAATGAAAATGTATTTCTTTCATAAAGAGTTTATCTTATCAGCATTAACTGTAATGGTGAAGAAAGATATTTGAAGAAAATACACGGAAATAACCTAAAATTCTCTTTCATAAAAACATAGCAATGTTTGGTTTCAGATATTTTCCCCCAAATATTGCTTATCTTGTCAAATAAATTGGTTTCAAGGGTAAAGCCCTTCCAGTAGGCTCCTCTGTAGTTTATGTGGGAATTCAAAATAGAAAGAGGCTCAGGGCCATGAGAGACAAGCAGAGTTTATGCAGTGGAATGTAACAGTCCCGGGGAATGTGGAGAAAATCTTTTGAAGAAAAAGGAGAATCATAAGCTAGAGGGAAGAGAAAAGAAATGTAGATAAGATTGGAAATGGATTCATGAAACTTAGATTCATAAATGTCTTAAGCAGATAACGTTAGTGCACCATTAACCAACGACTTGATTAAACTGCTGAAAGTATCTAAAGAAGTGATTCATTGTAGTTTTCATGTGTTACTCCAGTAAAGCAATTGCAGTCTTTATTTTGGGATGGTTGTGATAGAAGTAATCTTTCCATTTTATTATTCCCCCCCCAAATATGTGTATAAGGAAGAATTATTTTAAAAAAAATACAAAAACAGGCTTCAGATTTACTAGATTTACTACCTTCAATAGAATGTCTCTATTGTTAACTGTACTTTTAAATAATTAGTAAGTATGTCACCTGGGAGGCTTATGTCTAAAAACAGACAAGAAAGGAGCGCTTTGTGGATCCTCCCCCGACAGTGATTAAAAAAAAAAAGCATGACTTTTTCTCTTTGATGATGCTCTGTCTCATGGTATATAATAGAGCTTTCCTCTCTCAGCTTCTGTCTTCACGTCAGGGCTCTGTAAGTGCACCCTAGGATACGCAGGAGAGGTAGATCCTTAGGCAATGGGAGGAAACAGTTTGAAGTTATTTTGAACCTCTGCCATCTCTATTTCAGTCTCAGTCCTCAGTGTGTGTGTTTTATTCTCCCCCATTTTGCTCCTTCAACCCTCGACTCCTTCCAGCTCAGCTCTGTGTCATGGTAACAAAGAACCAGCCACATCCAACTCAATGTATGTATGTGTTTTAGCCAAATCATCACTGCAGTTATATAGTTACTCAAGGCAGTAGGTTAAACTCTCCCTCAGCACTAAACCAAAGAATATAATCAAAGATTATGTTCATATTTGTCCACCATAAGCCATAAATTATGTAAATTGAAGGATATTTAGCTCAACTAATCTGAGAAAGAAAGAAACACTCAAAATAATCTCAATGAAAATACCAGTCCTGTGTGTTTCTTCAGTTCATGGTGCATAAAAGCCAAGACTTTTTAACATAAAGCCTTATTTAAAGATAAAAAAATGAGGTCCTTAGGTCTATGTCTCTGTTCTCCGCCATAGCACACCTAGAGGTTTCACCTCTCCTCTAAATCTTCTCCAAGCTTCTGGTGTACATAAAAGCAGCTCATACAAACTATTCCAAATTTTCAGCTGAAAACGGAATAGATAGTTCTAAGAGTTTGATCACATTCATGACCAACCTCTTGGTCAGCTGAGAGTACCAGATCCAATTAGTCTTGTTCCCCCTTCACGTGACCCATTTCTGTTGACTTGTGACTGTGTCTGTGCATCCAAAGATCCATTTTATAGGAGTTAACTGCATGCAGTCAGGTTTTGGTGGCTCTGTATAACCTAAGCCAACCCATATCTGCTGCAAAGTCAGATTCAAAGACCTCAGAGTCTCACGCCAGGTCTTCCTAAGGTGGCAAAAGGCCACCTGAGTTGTACACCAAATTGCAGCCTCCAGGTTTCTAGTGTCCCCCAGCAGGTTTTGCTGAGTGTTCACAGAGAGTGGTTATGATTCAGACCTTTTGCTTGCCACATTAATGAAAGGAGGCGCCAAACTGATGGACCAGTTCTAACTCGAGGATGGCAAGCACATGTCATTTTGTGGGCCAAGTTCAACCACTAGAGATCAGACTTCAGGCTTTTGCCGTATGGTGGGCTGCATGACTTGAAAGTCCTCTGCTAAAACATGCAGCAACTTTAAGATAAAATAGAGCAAGCTTAAATGCATAGTGGAGCTAGCAAAAAAAGGTTAGGATATTGCCAAGGGACAAAAAGAGGTGAAAACTAAAACGGGAAAGGCATGAGCCATTGCTACAGCTGAGTGTTAGGCTAGGGTCTCAGTGGCCACCCCAGAAACGAGATATTCTTACGCCTTTGCCTGGAAACATCCATTCAAGTTAGTCTGCTTTGTTTGTTTCCCAGTAGCCATGCCAAGATATTTATGGTAAACTGCTCCCTAATCCTCAAAAGTAACTTCACTCATGCTTCTGTAGATGCCAGTCTTCTTCATGAAGGGTGGGGGGCTTGGCATGTGTCCGGAGCTACTTAACCAGCTCGGCAGATGAAACTGACGCTCTGTCTTCCCTCTGTGCTTCCCACCCCGGCACACTCACCACTGCAGCCACTTGAGCCTTGCTTAACAAGGAGGGGCCATTTGTCATTTGTGTTTGTTCTCAAACTCCAGAAGGCTAGTTATACTTAATTTTATCATTTTGTTCTTTAGTATTAAAGAAACAGATGAACGTGAAAAGAAAAGAGAATTGTTGATTCTATGTAACCCAAGTTCTGTGCTTTAGAAAGAATTAAAAAGTGGTGTATCAAATGGAAACAGACTCACAGACATAAGGGAGGAGGAAGGGATAAATCAGGAGTCTGGATTAATGTATACAAACTACCTACATACGTAAAATAGATAAGAAACAAGGATTTACTGATGGCACTGGAACTATATTTAGTGGCTTATAATTACCTATAATGGAAAAGGATCTGAAAAAAAAATATATATATATGTAACTGAACACTTTGCTGTACACCTAAAAGTAACACAATACTGTAAATCAACTATACTTCAATTTAAAAAAAAGAAAGGGTATTCTGAGAAGGATTTGACCATGAATAGTTTCAAAGAATACCACATACCCCTGGTTGAGACTAAGCCAGGGATGTGTTCCACCCTATCACAAAGTTAAGCAGAACTTTGAAGCTGGGGCCTGTATATGATGGTGGCACTGTTGTTACAATGACTGTGATTATCAGGCATGGGATTCAGGCACCACCAGATATTTGTAAGTGAAATGGAGGCAAAAAAACCTTCATTTACCAAAAGAAAAGGTATCTGCATTCTTTACTTCTTCCCTACACAAAGAATATTTTGATTCCCGTTATATAATGATCACGACAAATATGATTGGAACGTAACCAGAGAAAATTCCTTGTTTAATATGTATCTTTATTCTTTTAGGCCTCTTTTTCGTGGAAGTTCAGATGTCGATCAACTAGGAAAAATCTTGGAGTAAGTAGTAACTGTAATTTTACATCAGTGTCTGTAGCATTAAAACATTTACAGTGACCTTCCTCTGACGTTCATGTAATATGTTTATCTCTCGTCTTTCCTACCCCAAGCTGCTGCTGCAGACAGTGTTGCTATTTGTGTGGTGAGTGGGGACAGGGTAGACGTGCTGTTTTGCACAGAGCCCCTCATGACGTGTGGCCTAACTGCTCTGCTCTGGAAGCTTGTATGTTGCTTGTGTGGACCTTTTGGCGGCTTCTCCTTCTCTGCTTGGCTGAGCTCCAGGTCTTTGGTTTAGTTGTGTTGTCAGCTGGGGGTCATTTCAGATGCTCCCACCATCAGAGGTGGGGTGCTCAGTGGCCCAGTAACCCATTTTGCCCACTAGGCTTCCAGTCCCCACTGAGTGTCCTTTATTCATCCCAGTTGGTTGTACATTGTTCTGTTTTGTTTTCCTGAGCCAAGGATGCTATGTTCCACAATCCGTTTTTCTTTGGAACACTGAAATAGGAAATGAGAATCCTGGGTTCCAGTCCTGTGTCTATGGCTAAATAAGTGTGCGATCTTGAGAATTTCATTTAGAACACCCTGTCGAGGGCTTCCCCAGTGCCTGGTACATTCTAAAGGCTTAAAAAAAATGTTAGCTATTATTGTAATGATCATTCATTATTTTACCTCTTTGTTCTTAAGCTCTTCACCTGAGACATGAAACTTGAAGATCCTTTCTTGTGCTCAAATTCTTGGGCTCCAGTTGTCTGTGGCATAGCTCCTTGATGATTTTCAGAGTTCCATTAGTGTCTGCATGTTTGTGCATATGAAGATGGATGCTCTCATGTTTCTAGAATGTTAAGAGGCTTTTCTTCCTGCAGAGCATGCAGTTTGGCCTCCTTTGGGGATTTGTGTGTTTTCCCAGCCCATCAGAATCGCGGTGGAGTAGGAAGAAAGTGGGAGTTCTAGAACCAAAACCAGCCCTGATCATTGGTCTGTACCGTTTTAAAGGAAATGCAGTGATTTTTTTATCTGTAAAACTGATGAAAAGTACCCTTAATGAAAATAATTCTGTTTGAACACCATCTTCCCATGCATAACTGCTTGAAAGAGCTGGAATAAAACCGGAAACTGAGTCAGTTCTTTGGTGACTGGAAGCAGCTCTAATAGGCTTCTGTTAGTGTCAGTGTTCCTGCTGAGTTGGAACCCACGGGCTTTAAGGCCTGAAAAACATTTGCTCGTTTTACTGTTGGGGGTGCTTCCCAGGTCCAGGGCAGCAGCCACCACAGCTGCTCCCACCGCTGTTGCTGCCCGCTCTGTAGGATGGAGGGACTCAGGACCGAACGTCCACGTTACTCTCTGCTTCTGGGTGTCACATTGTTTGATCATTCATTGGTGAACTCCCATCTATTCTTCCCTATCCCTGTTGAAGATATTTTGTGTGCATGTGAAAGGGAAGCGGGAACTAGGAAAGTGAGACCTACCACCAGTGACCCTCTTGGTAAAAGTAAAACCAATCTTAACGGAAACCCACTTGCCAGGCGCTGAAGGTCCTTCACCTGCTTTTCCTTGCCGACGCTGTCTGGGCGTCCTGACCACCGTCAGCCCTGGCATCTTCAGTCTCACTCACACTGCTGGTGCCCCTGAGGACACGAAGCCAGTGAGGTGGACCACAAGGAACCTTTGATGAGCACGTTTGACTTGCTTCCAAGGGAAGGCCAGTTCCGCTTTTGACGAAGGCCTGAGATCCTGGGCTGCCAGCAGAAAGGAAGCCATAAAGTTCGATATGTTTTGAGCCTTTAGGTTTTACTTCTCGGTTTCTGGCATTGTTTCATCGAAATTGTGTTCTATTTCCTCTGAACGCATTCATTGCTTTGGCGTAGAGAAAAGGGACAATGCTGCACCCTAGTGTCACTTGGAAGTACTTGAAGAATGGTTTCTGTCCCGGCCGTCACTGCCGTTTATAGGTTTTGTGCTCTGTCAGTCTTTCCAGTACAAATGTCAACTTTTAAGCCTTGTATTCAGCTGTCCAAATACTGAAATTTGATGCAAGCACTTTTTAAAGGACCTATCAGAGTTTCACAGCGCTCATATATAGGCTGTAAAGGTTCATACTGGATATTAAAGTGAATATTTTTTAAAGGAAAGCCATATTCACATTCACTTAAGGAGAAAAATGTCTCTGCATTTAGGAAGATTTATACTTTCAAAGAACAACAAGTACTTTGAAAGTGAAACTGAATGCTTTTAGCCAGTGACATTTTAGAGCATTTTTAGGAGCAGAGTCATAGTTAAATGGAAACAAAATACTGGATTTGGAGTAAGTTCACTCTGGGCTCTGGACTGAACTCTCTGTGTCTGACTTTGGCAGTTCATTTCATTCCTCATCCTCAGTTTCCCTGTCTACAAAATGGAAATAATAATACTTACCTGCATGTCACAGGAGGTTATTATGGGGATCAGAGAAGGTGATAGATTTTAAAACACTTTTAAAAGTTATTTATGTAAACAGGTATGTGGGTGTATGTATGTATACATCACGTGCAAATACACATACAGAGACAGTATTTTTCTGAGAGCTTTTGGCACTTAGCTGCCCATATTAACAGATTTAACTCGATATATTCAAAACTGCAAAGAAAAAAGATTTAAAAACTTACTAAGAGCTGTTATCATCGATTTCTAAGTGACTGGTGATGATATGCAAGAATATTGATACAAATATGGCTAAAAGGCTAAAAACAAATGAAAGGCAATTTTTAAAGTTGTTTAATAAGCATTCTTCTGTTCATGTTTTCTTCTTTTTATCCTTATTCTAAAACTTGCTATTAAACAAATATGTATGTTGCTCAAGTTGTCATTTCCATTCCTTTTTTCCAGTAAATAAGTCCATGAGTCTGTCTCTATCTACCTCAATAACGTGGCTCTCCCAGCATGTCTCACAGAGGTAGGATTACAGTGTCTCCCCAGACACCCAAAGACAGGTGCAGTTATGACACAGGTGTCTGCTTTCCCAGGTGAGGTCTGTGACCTGGGCTTTGTTGAGGGAAGGGAAGGGGAACAGAGACTGAGAGAGATCTTATGACACCACCACGTGCTCCTGAACCCTGGGGACTTATTCAGGAGATCACCCCCAGCGAGGGCAGGCCAGGAAGATGGTAACATAGGCCAGCACCATTTCTAACTGTAGTCAAAATAGTTTGCTCAATATTTGAATAACCGTATATTCTGTCCACTAAACTATAATTTTTTAGGTTAGAGTTAATCAGAGTCTGTGTGAGGTACAAGTTCTTGCTTCCCCTTATTCCCCTTGTTCAAAGCTCCTTAACCACCTATACATAAATTATGAAGAATATCTACATAATATATAAGTTGTGTAAGGCCACTGACCTCTAATATTTCTGAACAACCTAAATCACACATCAGTATAATTCCAGCAGTTCGTATTTTTTGTGTGGTGGTGATGTGCTGCATGCGCATTTTAGATTAATGATGTTATTTTCCTCTTGTGATAATAATAGTGGGTCATGCATTGCTGTTGACGAGTACTGTGTGTTAGGCACTGTGCTATGCACTTTACATAAGTTATTGCTGATCCTCATAACACCATCAGTTGTTGTCATTGTTGTATAAATAAAGACACTGAGGCTCACAGGAGTTAAGTAGTTTGTCCTTACCTACCAATAAGTGGCAGGTGCAGAATTTGAACCCAGGTCTGCCTGTTGCCAAAGGATGTGCAGTTTTTAATATCACTTGATACTCTCTCTACATTTCTGATCCCAGAATGATTTTCAGGAGAAACGTAAATGATGCTGTTTTTCTTAATTGTTTGCTCACTTAGCAGTACCATAAAATAGTTACACAAAATATGTACATTAAATTATATACATTAAATGTGATATTAAATTATAAAATAGCATTTGCATAACACAGGACTAACATAACTTTTAGCCTCATGTTTCTGGTCTAATTTTAATTTATGTAATTTCTGTTTGGGGAATTATTCTTTAACCAAAAAATGCAACCAAATTGATGTGTAAACACAGTCATGTTAGATGAGCATCATAAAAGCATGTCAACAGAACGGTTTGAGCAGAACACAAAAGCCACTCTTGGGCATAAAGGCAAATATGATCTGCCCACGTGGGCATCCTGTGAATATAGAGGTCCTGCTCCATCAGTATTTCAGGGCTTATTGGTAATGTAATATTTTCCATTTCTGCATCATTGCTTACATTTTGTGTCTGCTGCCAAAGTAGTCTCTTACTTCTTCCCAGTGGCTTTCACAGTTGTCCTGTGGGAGCGCCTTCTGCTCCATGATCACCGTATTGTTGTAGGACAGGGAGAAATGAGTCCTGAAAGTCGTTCAAGTGAGGGGTTCCTGGGGCTCTGTGTCCCCCGTGCCTGCCCCTTAGACTTTACCTTCTTCTAGATTTTGCTGGAAAATAGCTTCAGCACAGCAGCTAATGCTTATTTTCACACATGGTTCTTCGTAGCGTAATTGGACTTCCAGGAGAAGAGGACTGGCCTAGAGATGTTGCCCTTCCCAGGCAGGCTTTTCACTCGAAATCTCCTCAACCAATTGAGAAGTTTGTGACAGATATTGATGAACAAGGCAAAGATCTACTTCTGGTAAGTTCACACGATGCCAAGTTGGTCTGCACTCTGCTCATGAGAGACTTGCCCTGTCCATGCGGGGTGGTGGGCACAGCGTCAGTTCAACACCGTGGGCCACAACCACCCAGGGCAGAGGCCACAGTCTCTCTGCCGCTTTCCTTTCCACACCTGAAGCAGCCAGTGGCTTTTGATTCTGCAGTGTCTTCAGTTCCTGTAGAAAAAGAGTCTGATCCACACTTTTTCAGTCTGCCATCTTTGAATGTTCTTTTGCAGCCTTAGAATCCTCTGGATTTGTCTAAACATATGCTTCCTTAGAAGTAAATATTATGTTTCCTTGTTGACAGTTTCATGCCACTTTAAGCAGCTTGTTTGGCATTTTAATGTGCCTTTTCTTAAATACGCACATCTTGAGGAAGATGTTTTTCCAAAGGAACTGCATAGCAATACTCCTTCTAATTACTAATTTATTTAATAAATATTGAATGATTATAAAACGCCTCACTGAAAACAAAGATTTCTGTGCCCTGCTTTAGACTCAAACTCATAATACTTGGCTTTGTGCATAATTCCCTGTATTTGGAGACCAGAATGATGGGTAGAGTGTACCTGTTGGGCTACTCTTGGTGTCTGGAATCCAATAAGTAGTAATGAGTGTATCCTTTACCAGTGGAAAAAATTGACCTTTGATATCTAACCAAGAAAGTGCTTCTAGACCCAGAGGAGCCAATGCTCCCATTCTGCCAATGTATTCTGATTTTTAGGTATAGACCTAAGAGTCTGTACAATCTATGAATTAGTTGAAGTTCTGATAGTCAAGGGACCAGCTAGAGTTAGAGAGAGCTGACAGTATGACTGGAAAGAAGCAGTGAGGTGGAGAAGAGGCATTCAGAGCAGAGAAAAGCAGAGTTGCTAAGAGCAGGTGGTGAGCAATGTTATGGTTCAGCTCTGTGTAGACATCGCCATTGATTGGTATGTGTGCAGAGCCCTGGATTTTCCCAGTAAAAAGCCCTAACTCCATCTTCACTTGATGGTGGCTCATTTTCTGATACTTAGGCAAGAGTTCCCTTCACTGCCAAGTTATGGATCACAACAGCTAAATTTCCTCCCACTGTTTATTTCTAAAACACTCACTAAGGACCTTAGCCCACATCCTTTGAAATAGATCAGTTAGAAAGGAGGGTATTCACCTAGACAAAGGCTCATTGTACATGCACACTTGCTGGCTCACCTGCTATTTCAGAAGATTCTTCCTTGGTTTCAGATAACAGGTATGTATTTGCATTACCTTAAGAAAAGGGGATTTGATGGGATGTTTCGTGTGGCCTGGAAATGGAAAGCCACCCAGAGTGTAAACATTCTCTGTCCTGTGCACTGCCTGCTCTTAGAAACTCTGCTTTTCTCTGCTCTGAATGCCTCATCTCCACCTCACTGCTTCTTTCCAGTCATACTGTCTGCTCCCTCTAATTCTTGCTGGGTCCTTGACTGTCAGAACTTCAACTAATTCATGGATCCTTTCAGCTGTAACCCCCACTGCTGACATTTGCTGTCAGTATTTCCTCCATCAGATTCCTAAAAGGGGGAATCTGGCTGACATACCTTACCTTTTTGCCAAACCAAGATATGGGTTGCTACCTAAGGGCAGGTTGCACTCCTGGCCCAGTCAGCTATGCTGGGAGGGGGTGGGGACCACGTGTTATAAAATATAGCCACCATGGGCTTTCCTTTTCAGCAGGAAATATTCCTCATTCATTGAATGAAATGTTCCTCTTGGAAGAGGATTCTGGACAGTCACAGTGATGAACAGTTTTGGTAGTGAAGTAGCCTACTCCTTCCAGAACATCGTAAGACACCCCGAAATATCTCCTGGCCCCAAATCAGTAGGAATCACTGAGAAGAACTTAAAATGTAAAGATAATAGACAATGCCATGGGTTCCTTCAGGGTCCCCCACTAACAACGGTGGCTTTCAAAGTCAGATCATACACAAGTGCTAGTCTGGAGAAGTAGCAGGAGACAAAGAAAAAGGAGCAAAGAAATCTACCAAAGAGAAAAGGAGGTGGTTGGACAAGGAGTGGCAGCAGAGATTAGAAAACACAAAGGAGAGGAATAGAAAGCACAGCCAGTAACATCATGTCCAGGGAAAACTTAAGCATGGAGCACAATATCCACAGGCATTCAGGGAAAGGACAGCCCAAGACCTTAAACCTCAGAACCTTCTGAAAGCTCTCACTATTTTGTCCTAGAGGGACACAGGCTAGAACTGTAAAGCCTACAGCCTACATTCGGGACAAGAGAGGCAGCTGAGACCCCTAGAGTATAGTACCTGTTGCCTCTTGTTAAAAATTTTTTAGTAAGGAAAAAAAGTGAAAGGTGTTTTAGAATGTTTTATTTAAGAAACAATTAACATTCAAAAGTTTAGCACTTTAAAGAATTATCCTTCATTTTTATCTGAAAAAAAGGTTGACCTTGTATCATGCCTCAATCATACATGTAGGGATATATATGTCCACATTTATAAATGCTCTTACATAGATGCGTAAATAGTATGCAGTAACAAGACAATTCAGGGAAAGGATTATTTTTAGCAACCAAAACCTACATATCTTTACAACTATTGTCCCCTTCATCATGCTTCACTTGGAAGGCTGGGTACTTACTCCAAATAGGATATGCTTAGAGTTCTTGCTACAAAACTGCTTTCAGAGCCCGAGGTACCTTTTTTTTTTTTTGTAATGGTCCACTTTTGCTGCATAACAAACATCCAAACAACCATCTCACTAGCATATAGCAGTTAGCATTTGTTTCTTGCCTGTGGGTGTGTATATTGGCAGAGAGAGCTGTGTGAGTCGTTTGGAACAACTCTGCTTCAGCCAGTGGATCAAGTACTGGTCTTCTCCACGTGTCTCATTCTGGTGTCCAGGCCAGAGGGGCTTTGGCTCCCTGGGGCATGTTGTTCTCATCATAGAAGGTTGGCACTCCCAGGAGGGCAAGCAGAAATATACAATGGCCCCTGAAATATACAATTGGAAGAGGCACCCTGCCATTGCTGTCCCCATTCCATTGGCCAAAGGAAGTTACGTGGTCAAGGCCAACTTTAGAAGAACACATACCCCTCCCATGAGAAGGGGAAGGGAAGAAAAGTTGGGGGGGGCGGAATCTGGGCTAGAAAACTGTCCAATCCACCATAGTAGTCAATTCTTGACTAAGCTGCAATTCCAGAGGCTCATTTTATAAATCAGTTATTTTTTGGCAAGTAAAATTTTTTTTGCAGAAACATTATTACACAAGATTTTTAAATTAATTCTCAAACTAGCCAATCATTCTATTGAAGTAGAGCAATAATAGAACTTAGCCACCTTTCCTAACAATATTTCTGTAGAAAAAAATGTATTAGACCTCCAGCTTGAGATTCTCACACACGCCAACCTTAGGTGAAGGATTTCTCCTTCCTTCACTCTACCCTCCCCCCAGCTCTAGGACATCAGTGTAGTGTGGAAACAGGGTTTCCTCCCAGATAATCCTCTAGGGACATTCTCTGTATCTTGGACTTATTTCCACAGCTTTTTTTCCCCTTCTTTTCTATGTCCTGGGAATTAAACTGGCTGCTTCCTTTTCTAATGCCACTACCTAATTTTCTCCTTCTTGGACTCTGGGAAAAGAACTCAGACTTAAGAATTTTGCCCCTGCTTTCCTGTCCTTTGGGAATTCAGCCTTTGTAAAGCTTTTCTCAAGATGTTTATTGTTATCAGAGACAGTAGAACCATTCTACGAATAAGCTCCTTCCTCTGCTTGCCATACGGTTCTTTGATTTTCAGAAGACACTGTGGGCAGGCTGGCATCCATGGACTGATAAGGGAGCTCTGGATACATAAGATTTTAGGAGGCCCAAAAGTTCACCTGAAATTATTTGTAGAATTTTCAGTTTGTACATGTTTTTCTAGGTCAGTTGCATTCAGCAGAGATTTAGAGGGGTCCCTAATCCATTCAGGACCTGACTAGGACTGTCAGCCACTTAAGGGTAGAATCCAGATCAAATGGAAGAGGCCTACATAACCATCATAACGTTAAGTCTAGATTACATAGAGGACTGAGATCCAGAGACATTTCCGATCCCCAGCTCACTTCAGTGGACACTGCATTACGAGGATGGAGAAGCTGTACAGCTTCTCTGCTCCCTGTGACCTCCTGGGGTAATGGGATGGGGTCTTAATCATCGTTAATTAGTGCTTGCCTCTTGCTAGGCACTCCAGAGGAGTTGGTGGAAGGAGAGAAGGAGAATTTGAAGAACAGGATTACCTGGGGTTGGAGTGGAAATGAAACTGAGATTAGAGAAATGTTCTGACCATCTGACTGTGTATCAACAGCTTGGGACTACAGATTGCTGCTCCAGAGTTCACCTTTCCCTCCTTTCCCCTCAACCTGCACTTGAGTCAACAGCCTGAAATAGAGTTTAGTGAATTGAATCTAATGGATTCCTTGTAGGGCTGCTGCTAGCCCATATGGCACCTAGATGTGAATCAGAAGGCAGGCATCCCTTCCTCTGGGTGGTGCATCCCTGGGATGGGGTGTGTGGCTCGCTAGTGGATCCAGGTAATTAGGGTCGAGGCTTTAGCCCTTACTTGCTGCCCCCTCTACTGGCCCTGCAAGATAACCCCTTGCTATTCCCTGCTCATTGATAAAACCTGGGGCAGGGTGAAAAACTAGGGTGAAGACTCTGACTATAGCACTAAGTTTGCTAGCATCAGAAAAATCACCACCCTAAATAAAGTCGTATGCATGTTGTAATAATAAAATATTATTATTGGGTTGGAGACAAAGCCTGGGTAGGTAACAGCCCACAGGCGACCTGAAAGGTGTTGCCTTTTCCTGAGAGGCAGTTCATACATTAGGGACATAAATGAGTCCTGTCTACATATTACTTACTTAGTGTCCCTTGAAGCAGATATCTGTTCTTATTACAGACACACTTATTAAGTGGCAGTGCGTAGATAACATAACTATGTAAGCACGTTATTTAAATGGCCGTGTTTTATGTCAATTCATCATTTTTTTTCTCTATCACAGAAGTGCTTGACATTTAATCCAGCCAAAAGAATATCTGCCTACACTGCCCTGTCTCATCCGTACTTCCACGACCTGGAGAGGCGCAAGGAGAACCTGGATTCCCACCTGCCGCCCAGCCAGAACAGCTCAGAAATGAACACAGCCTGAGGTCCCAGCTGCTGCCTTGAGCTGATCGTCCGAAGAACCCCTCGGTGGCTGATGGTCCCCTGAGCAAGCTCTGCAGAGCTTTGAGGTTGTGGATCACTGGCTGGAGACCTTCTAGCTGCCGTCTTCTGGATGGGCTCTGCTTCTCCAAGGAAACCGCCTAGTTTACTGTTTTGAAATCAATGCAAGAGCGATTGCAGCTTTATGTTCATTTGTTTGTTTGTTTGTTTGTCTGTCTGTTTGTTTGTTTCAAGAACCTGGAAAAATTCCAGAAGAGAAGCTGCTGACCAATTGTGCTGCCATTTCATTTTCCTGATCTTGAATGCTGCCAGTGTGAAGTGAGCAATCCAGGCACAGCTGAGTTATGATGTAATCTCTCCACAGCTGCCGGAGCCCGATGTGGTACTTTTGAGTGAGAGAGAGAGAGGGAGTGTCTGTGTGTGTGTGATTCTTGATCTCTTAAAGTGTTACTTTCTGTAAACGACGAGAATAATTGAATTTTAAAGACTCAAAGGGACCGCTAGATAACAGGCATCTGTTGACTGAAGGTGATTCACCAAAATGGGCTTCTCAAAGTGGAAAGTTGAGCCTGTGTCCTCAGCATTTATTTCTGGCCAAAAGCAGTAAATTTGCTAGTAGTAAAAGGTTCACTATCTTGATAAAGCTTTATACACACAGTAAAAAGAAAAAAAAATTCTAGTATCTTTTGAGAAGTCTGTTTTTTAAAGCACACATTCTATTTACTCTTCAAAAAGCTGAATTTACTCATTGTAACATTAACCTGTAAAAATATGCTTTATTGTTTCTTTTAAAAAATACCCTGTAAGATTTTTCCTTACTTGCTGTAGATTTAGGGAGTGTACCTCAACTAGGTAAAATGGTCAAAAAAAAAAATAGAGAAAGCTTTTATTTCCTAGTTTGAAATGTATTTCCTTTTTGGTTTTTGTTGTTACTTTGTTTTGGGTTTGGTTTTAGGAATTTGTCAGCAACTGTTTCCTGTTTGGGTCTGCAGGGTAGTTCCCTGTGACTAGAGACAGGAATGCCATTTAAGTTTTCCCCGCCTTACACTGTACTTCTTCTACCATGCACTGCCTTATTTCCAAAGTATCTGTCTTATCTATCCCCCAGCTTCTCTAGTGTATATTACTGCCGTTACATAACCAGTAACAGATTGCTTAAGCTGTTCGCGTGCACCTCCTACTTTCTTTCTTTCAATGAACCTTTCATAAATAGTTAGATTCAGACTATGGCTTATGGCTCCAATTACACAATCCTAACTGAGTCCCATATGTTCTCCATCTGATGCTATCTTCCTACCTGGCATTCACTGTTGTTACCTAGGCAATGAGTAGAAGACTGGTTCTTCTCAATCACCAGCACATAGATTGCTTTACTCAGCATTTTACATATTTATAGACTATGGTGTCAGTGTAGTCTCTGAGGGAGTGTCTTTACTATTTTCAGAAGTATGTATTTACTCTGTAAGATTGTCTATTCTCCATCCACCAGGCTGTGCTTGTTTCTAGTGCCTTATGCATACTCCTACTCTCTGCAAAGCCAGCCTGACCCGGGCATTGTGAACAGCTTTACTTTTCCCTTTTGCCATTTTCTCTGCAATACTCTGTATGCCATACCATCACTGCCTTCTATGTGGTTAGTGCTCAGTCAGCTCTAGTAACCAGAAGACACGAGATCAAGTGTCTTTGGGGAAGTTTAGCTACCTTCGCTTTCTGATTCATGTTTTGCATGTGTGCAACAGTTAGACCATGTTTAGCGTTAGGGTTTTCAAAGAATGGGCACTGGTTCACTCAATAGAAAATGTTCCAGGTGACGTTTCTGCATTGTCAGTCCTTTCTGAATTCTTCACAGCTTATATTATATATGGCTATCTTGAACAAGAGAAAAATGAGGAGACTTTTCTCCTTGAGAGCTTTCTGGGCCGGGAACCATCCTTTATTCTTTTAATACGTATGTTGTTTAACATTGTTCTAATTTGGTAACTTGAAGAGCAGGAAAATTTGTCTAAAGCAAGATGTGAATGAGAAGATGGGCCATAAGAATGTTTTATACTTTGTTCATTGTGATGACAATGATTATGTTTTGTCATCACTGTAAATGCTTGAGATATAATGAATCCAGAGCGTTCAGGGCAAGAGTATTTGTGGTCTCCCCCCTCCCCCGGACAAAGGAGTTCTGCCTTTCCTTTGATCAGGGGTGAAAATTCAAAGACCTAGGGGCCTAGAAATTGAATTTTAAAACTCACTGCACTGATCCATCATGAGCTTTGCAGTTAGTAACCCTGGTTAGAGTGCACATTACTTGAGTTTTTGCTTTTGCAAAAGTTTTTCATAAGTTCGCTCAAGAAAAACGCAGCTGTTCTAAACTGGAATTTTTCGGCATTCTTTAGCATTTTCAACAAGTAGAGAGTTCAGCTTTTATTTCTAACATATGGTTCATTTCTTGGCAGCGATTGTAAAGAAACCTTAAAGCACAAACATATTGACATTAATACTTGGCACATTTACCCTCTGAGAGCAGAAGGGGAGGGCATCTCGGCTGCTCTTACCTTGTGAAGAGTCTGTCCCCAGCTCTTCCATCCGGGTGGTTGTACTTGAGTGATTACTCTCTTGTTTTATGTCTTTTACATCCGGCTCACCACTCCTGAAATCCAGGTCCCACACAAGCACCTCTGCCATTAGGGCACTTTGAAGCATCTAGCAGAATACAATGTTACTGAATATGGCTTATTCTTCTGTGACAAATGGTTTCAAACATCGTTGCCAAAAGCTAGGCAGTGATTAGCTGGAAGGTCATTCTGCCCCAGGGTTATCAGTTAAAAAAAAAAAATCAGGATGACAGACTGGGGATTAACATTTGTATTTCTTACTAGAACTAGGGCAAGCATATGCCTGATAGTTTCTATATAATATTCTGTTCTAGTGGCCCAAGCATTGTGGGAACCGTGATGCCAGGTGGAGTTGTAACAACCTACACTTAAAAAAAGTGGAAGAGAAACCTGTCCATTTAGGCGTCATAAGCTATCACATAGAAAAAAGTAATAAGGCTTATAACCTTATAACCTTAAAAACACAATTCCCAAGAGCTTGTAAGAAGCCAGTGTGTTGAAACCTCCCACTTTGTCTTTGAAGTGCATGGGAACCCAGGAGCAAAGAACCTGTTTTGGAAGAAAGCTCCGGGCCATTTCAGCCCCCTGTGTTCTCATGATTTTTCTCTCAGAAGGTACACACTTTGAATGGCCAACTTTTCATTTAGCCCCAAGTGACTTATACTAAAAATAGTTCAAAATAGTCACCTAAGAACAGAATCTCAGCCTTTTAGTTTTAGGTAAAAATTTCAGAATGCACAGGGTGTTAATATCTTAAGGAAAACTTGTACATTTTAATAGAGAAATTTATAATTTGACTCCAGAATGTGGTAGTATCCATCTCGATGAGAAAAAACGTAAGTATTACCAAATCTTTTTGAACCTCGAATTATGTATTTAAATTGAGTTTTTGACTGCTTCTCTTAAAAGTAGTACCTATGAAAGTCGGTAATGGTGATTCTCATTCCATTATGGAAATTAAATCATGTAAGCTTCCTAATAGCATAAACATATTAAAATTCTTCTCTCTAAAGAATTGCTTCTTTTAAGTGACAGCTTTATTCTCTTTATGATAAGTACATTGAGAATGTCTCACATTTCCCCAAAACAGGCTTGTGTTACATAGGTGAGTTTAGGAAAGAATAATGTTCAAAGTTAATAAGCTACTGTAATTACTTAATTGTTAGTACAGAACCTATAGAATATTTACCTTGGAAAGAAAATATTGAAATATAGATTCTTAGATACCAATAGAATTCAAAAGAACACATAATAAAGACATAAAAATAATGTCTTTATTTCCTAAAAATAAAGATGTGATATAATTTCTAAATCTTTAAAAACCATGAAACAGTAGGCAATGGATAGAGGAAATTCTGGAGAAAATGAAGGTACTCAAAGAAGGATAGTTTCAAAGTTAAGTGTATTTTGAAAAATATATCTTTTAGCATATATTGTAAGAATTTATGTCAAAGTTACCTGGCAACTATGAACTTGATACTGTCAAAAACAGACTTTATGGAAAAGCCATCCCACACAGTTACCATTTCAAAGGTTGAGCTAAGCAAACTAAACCGTCTCTATTTCTTCCTCATTTCATGGGAAAAGCAGCCATGTCAAGCAAGCTATGCTTGTTATGCAGGCCTAAGAATACGTTGTAAAAAAGAAATAATAAGCTTTTTAAAGGTATGTGTTTCCTGTGCCACCAGGATTTTTGAAATCTTGTAAAGCCCAAACCATTTCTCATGTACGTTCACTACATTCAGATACATGATTAGGAAGATAATTCCATGTTCATTCCCTACAGGGGAAAATCTTCTCAAGGCCACCAAAAACCTGTCAAGCAGTGCAAGTCCTCAGATAACTAGTAGTTGTGTTTTTCTCAAAAGTATAACAAGATAGCATTTTCATTTCTTATCAATGCAGTTTTCAACATGGCTTTTTTACATACCTATATCTCAAGCATTTCTAACTTGTACTTTTTCAGAAAATAAACCAAAAATATTCCTTTGGCCTTTTCCATCTTCTGATCTATGTGAACAACAGAAATGTAGAAAGAGGAGGGATCTGATTTTTAAATGTTTTCCTCAATTAGTTGCTTGGTTTTTTTTTTTTTAATGATGGTGCAAATCAGCTTTCCAAAATGTTTCCTACTTCTTAGCATTCCCTGGGAGTTAATTTAGATAAATGAATGGACTTCCATCAATATGTTTATGTTTCCTTGATACTGGTGCTCTGGCCTTCAAGAAGAAAACAAGATTCACCTGAAAATAAATTCAGGCTTTTTTCAAGCGTCGGTTTAAACAGTATTACAGCAATTTGAAGTTGATACGGTAGGAAGGGGAAGTGATTTTTCTTGTAAATGTCTGTTTTAAAATTCACGCTATCCTGAGAGATGGCCTTGTTTTATTCCAGTATATTCCACAAGGTGGCACTTTGGGGAGGAAAAATCTGAGCAAAGCTTCCAACTTTTATTTTTCTGCACATATTTAACTTTTACCTAGCACTTGTTTTACAGGGTGATTAATAGTCTCCATCATATTCTATAACTTAGATATTTTAGTTGTTAGGTAGGTTCTGAATGACTGTCTGAAAGTAAATTGTTCTTGGAGATGGATAATACACGCATTTTGTTATTTAAGTGTGGAAAGAGAGCCTAGTCCTTCATTCATTAGTTCAAGAAACTTTTTGAGGTGCCTAATTACTTCATTTTTCTAGGTGCAGAAGTTACATATATGGACAGACTTACTTTATTACTAAAAAGGCAACACTGATCTGTGCAAAGGATAGTTTTGTTAGGAGTGTAAAACTCCTCCAGTGGCTCCAGCCAAAATCCCTATACTCCCTGTCACCTGCTTTCACATCCTCTACCACAGTGGCCTTTAGGAAGTGATTAAATTTTTAAAACTTAATTAAAAAGTCAGATGAAGAACTAAGTAATGCGTCAGTAATTAAGTAGACAAAACTATTTTTTTCTGAAGAATTGCTATGCAGAAACAGAGCCCTAAAATCCTAAAAGACCAGGTAATTTTTACGTTTGTATATTCATAAGTGTAACTTCACACGAAATTTTAATTTTGTTAAATTTTCTCTAAGCATATGACTTAGAGAAAATGACTTAGGTATATATCTGCATAAGTGTTTGATTTCTCCACTTGTGAAGTTCTTTGGCAATTTTATTTTATATAAATATATATTTTTTCATACACTCAAGTTTTAATTCACAGATCTGCTTGGAGATCTATTCCCTCCCCACCCCCCAGATGGTTTTACTTAATTTTAGAAGTCATTTTTCTATAAGAGTGTCGCTGCAATTTAAGAGGAAGGAAATTATATTATTTTTCAGAGTTTCCTTAGCACAGCATAACAGAAGGCAGTGTATTCCTTCTGAGTGGCAGAAACTCGATATTGCCTGCTTCACTTTCCTCCAGAGTAGCCGGCAGGCAAGTCTCAGTAATTCATACTGAATCAAAATACCGCACACCCTCGGGGCTGTCAGAGCTCTGAGAAATCTTAGGCCTCATCCCCCTGCTTAAAGTCCCACTGAAGTAGATTCCAATTTAAGCCCCTAAGTGGAAGGCCGAATTCAAACTTCGAGTTTGCTATCGGTTGGGCCAGTCTGAACTCTGCTCGCTTTCAAAACTGAACTCCCACCCAAAAGGCTTCCGGGTGCGCTGCACCGTCGCCCCGCCCCTTTGGCAGTAGAGAGGCAGTGGGCGGAGCTGGCTGGGAACCGCCTGCCGCTCACCTGTTAGTGCCTGAAAGGATGTGCAGACCCGGCGGGATACTGTCCGAGGTCCACGTGCCCTGCTGCTGTCTCAGAGGCATCTGTTCTGCAATCTTAGGAAGTAAAACGTCCCTAGAAGCAAACGGGTGTCTTCTGTGCATAAGTAAGTACAACACAATTCTCCGAAAGTTCGGGTATAAAGAGATGCTGCTGTATGAAGCTGTCTACCAGGCATCTCTCAAAGCTCTAAGTTCAGCTTTTTTTTTTTTTAAGAGAAGATGTATAATTACAGGAAATATTTTTTTAATTTTTTATTTTCTATCATTCTGCATTATATGATGGCAAAAGATATGCTTGGATAAGTTTTGTTTGGAAAATTTATTTTCTGCTTCATACTCAGTTGGCAAAAGCTCCTAACTCTTTAGTTCCTAGTTTCTTCTTTCTCTTTTTTCATTGTTAAGTAATTAAGATATGTGAGCAAATTATCTCTTGTAGGAGGGAGACTTTCCTGTTTCAAGGAACCTTTTGTGTGAATTGTTTCGTCAAATAACCCCTTCTCTATCTAAAATAGAGTTTGGATGGTCAAGTGTAGGTTTTCTTAGAGGGGACATATAACTGTACATAATTCTATAAAGAACTATGACTGTAGCACTAATCAGCAAGCCTAAAGCCACAAGTTATATCATTTCTAACTCTCTGTGGTTTCTAAGCAAATCTGTTGAAGTGCTTAGGTTACAGTTATGAAGAGACCCTGCATACCCTTACTTGAAAGTTTCTAATCCTAAGTTTTATGAAATGCAATAATGTGTATTAGCTAGCAATATTTCTGTGATCACCAGCAACTCCCAGTTTGATGCTGAAATCTTTGAATAATGGAAATAGATCCCAGCAGTAATACATTTCTTGAACCTCCCACCCCGGCACCAAGTACATTATGTATCTTCTTATTTTGGTCCTGTGTTTGCAACAATGTACAGGTGAATATTTTAGTTCCTCACTTACTTTGTATTCATTTATTTGCCTATGACCAGTAATGAATATATTACTTAGTACATGGAACAAACAGCATCAGCTACCCCTAGGATCAGCACTTAACGAGGTGGGGAATGTCTATTTCAGGTTGTTCTACATTTGCATAAATTATTTCTATTATTATTCATGTATATTATTTATTTCTCAGTCACACTAGTCCTGTGAAAGTGTGACAGAAGGCAGACCACATTAAGATTTGCATTTAGTGCTCATTATCATGGTGGTGTTGGAGCTAAGAAAATTAAAATTAGACTAAGCCCCCAAATAAGCTGCATGCATTTTTACGTGATTAGTAGAATTTAAGTCTATAGAGATAGTGTTTTTGTGTCTAGGTGTTTTATCATTATGTAAAGGAATTAAAGCAGATGACTTTGTAGTTGTTCTTTTGTCAGATATGCATATACTATAGTGTGAAAATACAGCAAAAATTAAAACTGCAGATAGCAAAGCATCAGATGCTGCCTTAATTTAGGAACT